TATTAAAATATGTTGTTTTTAATTTGTTTTTTGTTTTGTTTTGTTTTTTTGTTTAATTGCAAAATTAGTTTTTTGAGTGTATTTTTCCCGAAAAAACCGTTGAGATCACAGCCTAGGTTATTAGTTTGAAGTGAAATATAAATCCAAATATAAATCACACATTCATTGCACAAAAATTCTATGAATGTATTATTCAAATCATAATCTGATACTTAAACTCAAACATTGTTTCTATATTACGAATAACTAAATTATTTAATCTATTATGAATTTACATTTACTTACAATAAATTAAATATTGAATTGTGAATAAGATTTACGATTTGTTATAAAATACACTTAAGATAATGAATAAATGCTAACAAATATATTGTTGTTTTCAAAGAATATTCTTTATGGAAATCCCAGAATTTACAGAATGCCTCAAATTAAGTAATAATGTATTATAAATGCCCTTGTTACAATTTTTCCAACATTGCTATTTTACATTGTATATTAAATATTGAAACTTTATCATTTATAAACACTTATTAATCACGTGAAAATTAATAGCGTTTAACTGCAAAGCAAATTTTTAAATCATTTCATCTATTTTCATCTATTCAACATTTTTCAAACATTTCTGTATATAATTAAATACAAAAATGTACTTTAATTTGATATTAATTGTGGTTTTATTACAACTGTTGGTTGCATTGGACGCATCGGTGAGTGATTTTAACTATTAGTTTATTTTAATTAAACTTTCAATAAATATTTGATCTCAGAATCCATTGTGTGATCAAAACATTGCCATCGATTCGGCATTTGTGGACAAATACACTGATTTGGGATCAGATGTCATCACTTTGTTTGCAGACAACACTGTCTATCAATTGACTGTCAATACAACGGATCCCATAAATCCTGTCTTCGTATACAACAGATCCCAATCAGTGGACGAGTGGTCGGAAGGCATCGTCGGTCCCATTAATAGTGTATTTTATTCAGACAATGGATTCGTAACTTTTCTGTTAAATGTAAATTGAAACCAAAAATGTGTCATTAAATATGATAACGATTTAATAAATTAAAACTTTAATTAAATTAGAAACAAAAACACATTTATTGGTATTTATGGTCACATAATAAGACAATTAAGACATCGGCCGTCGATCGCAATCAAACACTATATGCAAAACAAATCTATTTTGAAACTTTGGTTAAACAGCCGTTTAAATGGATTAGAAGTGTATTATTTTACAGGAAAAGTCAATTTCATATTATCACATATGATCATGGTAACGGATCTACCAATTGGCCACTTAATCACTATAATCTGATCCAAGAGTACCAGAAGAATGGCAATAATAATCATACCGTCGATGAGATCGAGAGTTATTTGTCAAAAACTACGGCTGGTTTTGCATTCAATGACTACTTTTATTTGTTTGCCGGAAGTCTTGTCTGTCGTATGAATAACAAGACTATTGAGTTTGAAGACAATTGTTTGACACAAACTATCGCTCAATGGATTGGTTGCGAAGACAATGCATTAGATCCGACTGACAGTAAATACACAATGATTTTGATATTAATGATCATTTTGGTGGTCATAACTGCACTGATTATAGCATTTATAACGTATAAACTTTGGACGAGATCTGCGCCCAAAGGTTACCAAAAATACAAAACCAAACAAAAACATCGACAGACCGTCTCTTCGGACACAGAATCGGGTAATAAGTCTTTGAATGCATCGGAAAGTCGAGACCCGAAGGCATCGATGTCTTTGTCGTCACTCAAAGACAAGAGACCAACGGATCTAAAAGTTAAGAGCAATGAAGAATCGGTTGGAAGCGTCGGATCAGATTAAATCAAAACAACTCATTAATTGATTAATAACATGAATTGAATAACAAAATCAAACTAACGCTTAATTATTATTATTTATAATATAATAAAAATGTGTTTTATTTAATTTTTTGGTTGAAAAATAGTTTTTTTGTTAATTTTATTTGTATTAACAAACGTATTAAACACTTATACAAACGCACAATACTTTGAGTGATGTGTGTTTTACATAATAATATTTGCTTTAATTATAATCATGCATTTATTAAAACCCCATAATTATAATCACAAATAACTAGTGTCTGGAAAAGTCGGGCGTCGATCACACTATCGGATCACTTGATCGCCGTATGGCTTACGCTGTATAATGACTGTCGTGTGGGTCTCGCCGTCCTCTACGGGCGGTAATATAACCTCTCCTTTGGCCGAATGGCCAGAATGTCGTTCAGCGATCACCGACCGGTTGCTTCCCGTACTGCCCACCGACTCTTTGCGGCCGTTATTTCTATTTCTAAAAAATCATGAAAATTAGTTAACAGACAAACATTTTATTTAACAAAATTTATACGACAGTGTAATTACCCTAGGCTCAACATCCACTAAAAAAAGACCTAGTAACATTTTTAGATTATACTAAATACCTATTATTGGCCATATCGATGGCGAACTCGATTTCTTTCATGTCCCTACCCTTAACCAGAGTGCGAACCTCTCGATTGAGTTGCACCAAATCGGGGTATATTCTGTCTGCATTGCCGGCCAACTGGCCCTCTCGTATGCGGTCTGCGAAGACCTGGCCAGCGATTTGCCGCATATTGGCCTCTATCTCCCGGTCCCGCTCTGACCACTCAGACGGCAGCGGCTGCGATGTCTGGCCTAATGGTTGTCCCAATGGGTGTCCCGACGGCTGTCCCGATGGTGTCACAGATGGCGGCAATGACGGCGGCGGGTATGGCCAGGGTTTTAACGGCTCGTCTCTACTGTCCTGGGAAAAGCCAGTACCCGGTATATTCTGCTGCGATTGACCAATCAGGTGCCGTTTCGGTGGCGAGTGGGGTGGTGTTGGTGTGTCAAACGGATTTCCCTGCCCCGGCGGGGATGGGATGTCCCGGTGTATCGGGTTTGTTAGCATTTGCTGAATGGGATAACCATTGGGGCCCATATTAAGTTGGGCTGCTGTGCCCTCAACTGTGAACACGTTTTGAGGCACATCTCGGGGTATGGTCTCAATGGACCGGCCGTTGGGCGCCATATTGGCCGGCAATCCGGGGGGCAATCCGTTGATTCTTAGGGGCTGTTTCTGTAGACTATTGTTGTGGTTGTGTTGGTCTGGCATTTGTTGGTTCGCGTAGACGTTAACTGCGCTTTTCTGTCGATTATAATTTTGTTAAAAGTTAATTAAATTATATGTTTAATAAATAGTAATAAATTTTATCATGTTTTTTGTGTGATATACCGGACGTCGACGCGATTTGAACCGCATATACGACCCAACCATCGATACGCCCACACCTAATATGACGGTCAGTATAAAGCCATAGCCGGCGGCGTTTATAGAGTACGATCCGGCTTTTATTAATGACCCCAACCATCCGTCCACCTGTGCTCCCTATTTTGTAATTGACATTGGTCAAATAAGTATATTATTAAAGCTCTCTCTCTCTCTCTCTCTCTCTCGTCTTCATTCATAACTAGTTTATTAAAACAAATGATTATAAAAATATATAAAACCCAGTAT